CGAAGACAGTGCACGCCTTAGACCACTCAGCTACCGTGACCAGCAACACTACTAGATAGGCTGTATAAATCATAACATCCCTCATCCTGCATCACTCTCCATTCAGCACTTCATACCTTTCAAGCACAAAAATAAATAAGAAGTTCTAGGAGGAACTAATCACCTACTTTACTTTGATACGACATGTACCACATAGAAAACGATGTCTCCAACAATTCTTCATTGCCATGGGAACAGCTTTACCAAGTTATTACTCAGCAACAATATGGGGAAAGACAGACCTACAGACTCTCCCTTCTTAAGACATAGATGCCTTGGAAATTAATGATCTGCACAACAATTTTGCTATTGTAGTGTGAATTTTTTTGCAGCAGGAACATGTTTACTGGGCTGTTGCCTAGCACTGAAAGGAGGGGTACACCCAACTGAGCCATTGCCTCACAACAACAGTGAGATACACATGCACACACACACATACAGATGGGAGATATTTATGAAGTATGCCATTTTAATGGGCTCAGTTGCCATGATATACTGAGTTTCAAAACGATCAGTTCAGGAATTCAAAAATTAATAGGAGTGATTCACAAACACACAGGATGATGATCGCATAAGCCTACTTTAGGAAAGTAGGTTAAAAAGTTATTGTTAATTGCATTCAGAAGTTTGGGGGGGTTGGGTACTCAGAAGTCTTGACTGAAACCCAACAGTTACGGGATGAACCTCATGAAGCTACAGTACATATCCAGTATATCATACACACCTCAGGTATTCTTGGGCTGTTATAGTACTCTCTTTACAATGGTGTCTGGAGTTCGTAACTACACCACATATGACTCGCTCATATCCAGACACAGTGTCACTTGATGATTTGGCGGAAAGGTGTAGGTATATTATTGATTCCTCTTCACAGCTTTTTTCCATGTCAGCCATTTTATAACCTACAGCCTTCAGCAAATTAGTGACAGTACTTCTGAGAAGTTCAATTCTCAGTTCACTCAGGTCCATTTTGCTTCTATCTTCTTGCAACCCATCAGAGGTTATAACAAATCTCTGGAAGAAATTATACTATAAATGCACTTTAAATTCATCATAGCACAACTGCACATCATTAATCTCCTCTGTTCTTTATTTGCCATGCTATGCATGATAACTCACCTCAGATCTTATCAATTTGCACTACACCATTATCCTTACTAATTCTGCCAATGAAAATAAAATGAGCTGCACAAGAACTCTACTCTGTTATAATTATTACTGTGGAGAGGCAGTGAGGTAATGCTCTTCATATTCATAAACTTAACACTAAGATGCACTATGCTTATCCTTCATTTTTAACACGTCTCAATAAGTAAAAAGTTTCATTGCATTATTTAAATCCATGTATAAAACTAAAACATATAACATTAAATTAATAAATCACACCTGCTGCTTTGATGAGAACTGCCCATACATACATTTCTGGGACAGAACACTGTGCAGAACATACTTAAAGGTGAGTTTTCTGTTCAGATACAGCTGGACTCTGTTGCATTCAATTGCACACTTGCTTACAACAAGAGGCCAGGATTTACTAGTCTCTATAATATTCTGTATCACCTGAAATTGATATACAATGTGGATGGTAAAGTATGTATGTATTATTGCTAAATCACCACTAATAATTATACCAACAATATTTGTAACAGTAATCATAATCGCAATACCAAGAAATGGTACTTATTTGCAATAGTACATCTACTGATGTTAACAGGGTTATCCAATGGTTCACACTGGATTCCACATTAACCTTAATAATCTTCAGTTAAATGCAAACTTGATAATAGGCTTGGGGAATTGGTAATTAAGATAGTTTATGNTCAATCAATTTTTTTATTCACTTCTGGGTAAATCTGTTCAATCAAGAACATGAAGGCTGGACATGCACAATGAATATTCTTAAAACTCTATAACGTCAAAGTTAAGATTTTTAGGTATGGTGAGTTCAGGGCAATATGCTCCATTTCATGAATTCTTCCTATCAAAATGCTGTATACATTTTTCTCTTTTCCCCTACCTCTAATACATGTCCAGCCCATCCTTCTGACTTAACCCACCAAACTGTCAGAAACAGGAAAATGCAGTGAGGCTGGGATTACTTCTGGAAAAATAAACACTCAATTAAAATACTAATATTTCACTGCCAACACAATGCACTGCAGATACTACTTTTCAGAAATATGATACTGTGGCATTCCAAGATACAACCATAAACTGAACATCTCTGATGAAATGCAAAAATTACATACTAACTATGAAAATGGAGGAGTCCAAACTGCTCCTCGGTCCAGCAAAATGTTATGTGGAACTGTTCAGTAAGCTAAAGCCAATTAATTAATTATACTAACTACTAGATAGGCTGTATAAATCATAACATCCCTCATCCTGCATCACTCTCCATTCAGCACTTCATAACTTTGAAGCACAAAAATAAATAATAAGTTCTAGGAAGAATTAATCACCTACTTTACTTTGATACGACATGTACCACATAGACAACGATGCCTCCAACAATTCTTCATTGCCATGGGAACAGCTTTACCAAGTTGTTACTTAGCAACAATATGGGGAAAGACAGACTCACAGACTCTCCTTTCTTAAGACATAGACCGCATAGAAAATGATGTGCCCAACAATTTTTCTATTGTAGTGTGAATTTTTTGCACCAGGAACATGTTTACTGGGCTATTGCCTAGCACCGGAAGGAGGGGTACACCCAACTGAGCCACTGCCTCACAACAAGAGTGAGATACACATGCACACACACATACAGATGGGAGATATTTATGAAGTATGCCATTTTGATGGGCTCAGTTGCCATGATATACTGAGTTTCAAAAAGATCAGTTCAGGCATTCAAAAATTAATAGGGGTGATTCACAAACACACAGGATGATGATCGCATAAGCCTACTTGACGAAAGTAGGTTAAAAAGCTATTGTTAATTGCATTCAGAAGTTTGGGGGGGTTGGGTACTCAGAAGTCTTGACTGAAACCCAACAGTTACGGGATGAACCTCATGAAGCTACAGTACATATCCAGTATATCATACACACCTCAGGTATTCTTGGGCTGTTATAGTACTCTCTTTACAATGGTGTCTGGAGTTCGTAACTACACCACATATGACTCGCTCATATCCAGACACGGTGTCACTTGATGATTTGGCGGAAAGGTGTAGGTATATTATTGATTCCTCTTCACAGCTTTTTTCCATGTCAGCCATTTTATAACCTACAGCCTTCAGCAAATTAGTGACAGTACTTCTGAGAAGTTCAATTCTCAGTTCACTCAGGTCCATTTTGCTTCTATCTTCTTGCAACCCATCAGAGGTTATAACAAATCTCTGGAAGAAATTATACTATAAATGCACTTTAAATTCATCATAGCACAACTGCACATCATTAATCTCCTCTGTTCTTTATTTGCCATGCTATGCATGATAACTCACCTCAGATCTTATCAATTTGCACTATACCATTATCCTTACTAATTCCGCCAATGAAAATAAAATGAGCTGCACAAGAACTCTACTCTGTTATAATTATTACTGTGGAGAGGCAGTGAGGTAATGCTCTTCATATTCATAAACTTAACACTAAGATTCACTAGGCTTATCCTTCATTTTTAACATGTCTCAGTAAGTAAAAAGTTTCACTGCATTATTTAAATGCATGTATAAAACTAAAACATTAAATTAATAAATCACACCTGCTGCTTTGATGACAACTGCCCATACATACATTTCTGGGACAGAACACTGTGCAGAACATACTTAAAGGTGAGTTTTCTGTTCAGATACAGCTGGACTCTGTTGCATTCAATTGCACACTTGCTTACAACAAGAGGCCAGGATTTACTAGTCTCTATAATATTCTGTATCACCTGAAATTGATATACAATGTGGATGGTAAAGTATGTATGTATTATTGCTAAATCACCACTAATAATTATACCAACAATATTTGTAACAGTAATCATAATCGCAATACCAAGAAATGGTACTTATTTGCAATAGTACATCTACTGATGTTAACAGGGTTATCCAATGGTTCACACTGGATTCCACATTAACCTTAATAATCTTCAGTTAAATGCAAACTTGATAATAGGCTTGGGGAATTGGTAATTAAGATAGTTTATGTTAATACTAGTGACTGTAAATGAAAGTATTATTCAGTGGCAGCAGTTTCCAACAAACAATAATAAGCACAAAACAAAGATATTAATATTAACATTTATAAGCAAATAAATCAACACAATAACAGCCAAAACATATTCTGTACTTCTCTCTATTATTGAAATAATATTCATCATCATAACTAGTTCATTAGCTATCATCATCAATTTCTTTGTCTGCAACCTCCCAAACAACCAAATGGTTATTTACAATATAAGCAAAGTATGTGGAGCAAATTAGGTAAAGGTAAAAGGTAAAAGGTAAAGTTGTCCCTGTGCTTGACTAATTAAGCAGTACGCCACAAAGACGTATACGGGAGTGGCTGTATAGATCCACATTTTCTTGACCTTGACACTAGCTGCAGGTGAGTGGTCAACTTCATGCCCCTGCTACTTTACCCCCAGTACCCATCGGATAGGAGGCTGGGTGGGCCCCAGAGCCAGTCTGGATGGAGCAAATTAGGTATAGAGACAACCTACATATAAGCACAACCAGTGAGAATATATGTACAAAGGGGGCATATAAGTACACACATAAAAATAGAAAACTCATAAAATAATGACACATCCTTGCATTGACAATAAACATATATTTTACATTACAGAAATATGGATGCCAAAAAAAGGAAAATAACACGGAATGAAGAGAGAGTTTTATTCTCAGACACAGCCATTTTAGTGTGAACAATGATATGCAACAGCATGGAAATACAATGACTTAAAGTCTGATGCAGTGTGACAGTTTCAAAAAGTGAACAATTGCTTGAAGATGGCCAAGTAGGGCAGAAACATGTAGAAATTGATGTTATTTTACTTTTACTTTAAAAATAAAGAGAAACTTGGAATAGTTTTAAATTGCATTAACAACAGAGTTGGATCTGAGGTTCTCACAGCAGTGACCACAAAGGCTTCTGTCTTCTGGGATAAATCACTGTGCAGTCCATGGAAGCCAATTGACATTTCAGAAGAAAACACTGCCTTCATCTTCAGCATCAAAGAGTAAGCCAAGCAAGATTTCAACATCAAGAAGACAGCAAGCAGAGCAAACCACATGTGGCTAACACACAGGAAATGTAGCTTCTCTTCTTTTACTTCCTACGGTTCGCTCTGCTTCTTTGGAAACCGAATGGGGGCAGACTTGTTGCCTTGCAAGTTCCCTCCTAGCCTATACAGATCCTGCTTTTTTTCCATACACAGTCTGCCCAGCTTCTTCCCAGCTTCATGCTGGTTTCTCACTTAGCCTACCCTATGACCCTGAAGATAGAGGTAACATGTCTCCCAGAAACATTGGACTTACCTTCACCACACTATATGGTTTTGTATCCCAAGATACAGAACTCTACATAAAAACTACTTTATATATACAAGGGAGAGTCAGTAAATGGGTCACAAATAGAAGTAAATCAGCTGTAATGGACATAATATGTTTTCTATGTGTATCACTAGTTAGCAGAACAGTCCAGCTTCATGACAGTCTAGGTAGCAGACCTGCATGCACATTTTCAGAGGCTGGTTTCAGTAGTCAAAATGGCAACTGTGTTTGAAGAGTATGCTACTGCAGAGCAGTGTTCCGTTCTGCGTTTTTTTTTTTTGTGGGCAAAACTACTCAATGCAAAGGTCATTCATACAGAAATGCTTCCTGTTTACACTGAGAAGTGTTTGTAATGTAAAGCAGTTCAGCCTTGGTAGCAAACGTTTCGTTCACGACGAAGAGTTTGAAATTGAGGTGAGGAACTGGCTTAGGCAACTTCTATCCTGTGGACTTCAACAGACTGGTAAAGCGATGGGACAGATGTGTCAATGCTGGTGGAGGATATGCCAAGAAATAAATGTATTTTCAGGTTCAAAAATTACGTTGTACGTTTTATATCCATTTGTGACATAGTTACTGAGTCCCAACAAGTAAGTGCTGAAGCACTTTATAAACATTTCAAATGGCAAACACTGGCCAATCAAAGATTTCTGTAAATGATTACTGGTGGCAAGACGAAGCTATTGTTTTGTTGATTTTGAATCCGCATCCATAAATACAGGGAAGATTATCCAAAACGTATGTATGAAGACAACAAACGTAACCCTACTTCCAATTCGTGTCCTAAATTCCCTGAATGGTCCATCTGTAAGGCATCAAAACAAATGCCAAAATACTTATTTTTTTCTTGTGCTCTGTGGTACTCTAAAACAATTTCTTTTTTGCCATACCCATTCCTCCCCATCACAAACTGTATCACTCTCAGCACCATGTACTCTATTTAAATAAGAGTACTCCAATATTGTCTTCAGATTTGTGGCCGCAAAATTTGGCACAAAAGGTACACTATTGAGCCAATATTCCAATTGTGTTGGAAAACTAAAATCACCAGACGTGTGCAAATTTTCCTTGTGTTTGCGTATTAGGGCACATGTCCGAGAAATTCCCGTAAGACAATAACAAAGCCTGATATTAAACAGCTGTACAATGTCAGCATAATTTTCCTTTTCCATTATGCCACACCCATTAAACGCGAACAAACTCGCACAGGCACACGCCTTTCACCAAAGCACTAAATTTTAACGTCAACACCTGTCAACTATTCCCACGATTCCCACCAACTACTATTCAACGAGATGAAACCCGAGCGTCACACTCGTCACCTCTTCACCTTGACGACCCTGACTATTGTTTCATACAATCGCATATCGCATATATCCCATATGATATTATCATTGTAATTACCAACGGAGTCGATTTTCAGCTATCGATACAAACAACTTGCACCATCCTCTCGATAGCTCTTCTTCTGAGGGCAGGAATAGCGGAACCTTAAAATACGTCACTTGGTCAGTTGGTAGGCAACAGGTTTGTAAACAAGTTCACGTGGAAGGAGAGAAATATCCATTGTTACAAGTCATTACCTGGCAGTGTCTAGTAGAGACATAACAGGCAGAAGACTAGCGATTTGTAGAATGTATAAATTATTGAGTGTTGCGATTAAATTTAATGTGACATAACTCCTGAGGGCAGGAATAGCGGAACCATAGAATACGTCCGTTGGTAGGCAACAGGTCTGTAAACACGTTCCCGCGGAAGGAGCGAAATTTCCATTGTTACAAGTCATTACCTGGCAATGTCTAGTAGAGACATAACAGACAGAAAACTAGTGATTTGTAGAATGTATAAATTACTGAGAGTGTTGCGGTTAAATTTATTGTGACATAGCTCCTGAGGGCAGGAATAGCGGAACGTCCGTTGGTAGGCAGCAGGTCGGTAAACACGTTCCCGCGGAAGTAGAGAAATCTCCATTGTTTCAAGTCGCTACCCGGCATTGACTAGTAAACCCATAACAGCCTGAGAAGGCTTAGTGTGTGCTGTAGTGATTTGTAGAATATATAGATTAGAGTGCTGCAGTTATTTGTATTTATCAGTCATTAGCGTTTAATAACGCCAATTATCAATCCAAATCTCGCGTCTAATCACAAAAACGTGACAAAGAAATTTCAGCAGTGAATACTGGAAGTTCTGAGCATAAGGGATCTGCAGGAGCAAATCAGACAGTTGGAACTAGAACCATTTTGGACCTCTACACTACATCACAGTCACAGTTACCGACCCAGACACAATGTGGTCAGACACAGTGGGTGCTCAAAGGGTGCACTCTACTTATCTTGAGCATATAGAGTGCTCTGAAAACCAGGCTATCAATGCCACCATGAGTGGAAAGATATCATATGCAATGTACAAGTTAAGTGTAACTCAGATTACATACACACCAGCACCTGGTAAGCACTACTCTGGGAATGCCACTGCAATTAGTCAGGTGGAAAATGATTTATCACAAGGAACCACTGCAGGTCAGTTGCTTGCTCAGGAGAATTGTGCCTACCTTACCCAACAAGATGACGATTCTGGTACATCCCATACCATCATTGCAGCACAAAGAGCTAGTTCATTGACAGCAACAGCTGATGATGGAGGGGTGGTGTATATGGTCCCAGGGAATGCAACTACTAACCCTTCTTCTCTGGATTGTGATGTACATCCTAAATGTCCACGCATCATCCGCATCTCATCGACCACCATTCATTGGTTAATGCAAAACTACGAAGTAGCTGAGGGTGCAAGCCTTCCTCGTTCTACATTGTACAACCATTATCTCCGTCACTGCAAAGGTAACAAATTATGCCATGTTAATGCCGCATCATTTGGGAAGATCATCCGTTCTGCTTTTTCTGGCGTGAGAACCAGAAAACTTGGTACAAAAGGTAATTACAAATACTACTTTTATGGGATCCGTATAATTTCTGGATTATCGTTAAATCAACTGTCAGGAAACAGGAACTCAGCTGTTCGCCAACAGCCATCACCAAAGAAGCACTGGCCCAGGTGAAAGTAAGAATGGCACTCAGAAAACAGAAAGCCAGTATAAGCATAATACTAACCATTCAGCCAGCTTTAATCACTCCAAGTTATAGATCACAGCATCATCATCACCAGTATTCAGGGGCTGGGTCAGGAGTTATAGCAGACTTTTCAGATATTGCAATGAACCTTCCCATATCAACTTGTGTCCTTCCTCACATTGATATCTTCTTTTGATCATCTTCCTCTCTTCTGTTTGTCAGTTATCATTATAATAAAATTACAGACTAAACGTATAAGCACAGAATATTAAATAAGCAAATTTTGTTCTTCTGTCTTTCCTTAAATTCCTACCACTATGCGTTTTAGACAATTCCAAATGGGAAACATATAAGACAAATGTTTACCTATTCAGACTCTACTACAGGTTTCATTTAAACAACTTTAATGAGTGAAACTAGTTCCATAGTTACACCACTTGGGCATTATTATTTTAGAATCAACATTGCAATTTGGAGGTTATGTGCAAGAAATTAAACAAAAAGTAAAAGTTAAGGTATCCCTGTAACAGGCTGTAGAGGCCCATAGGGTTGTGAGATGTTGAGGTTCTAGACAATTGGCTCATAGATGGCGCTAAAGTTGTCAGCCTTACCCACCGGCCACCCTTTACTCCCAAGAATAGTCCTGGTACTCATTTCTCTTAGGCCATAGTGTGGCTGGAAAGATCAGGTAAACTGAAAAAATCACCTCATTGGAATTCAATCCTGTAACTTTACAGCTTGTAGCATAGTGCCTCAACCAACTACGCTACTGTGTGCCCCAGAAATTAAATGTAGACAAGCTAAATTGAATGTCATTGTTGGACTGTAAATTTACGCTATCTAAATGTGATAGTAACAAGAGAACCGTAAAACTGACGATGCGTAATAGGGAAGGAGGCTTTATGAGGTAGAGGGGGTTGGAGCTCACACTACACTTTTCATGAAAAATTTGAATGATGTGCATTTACTATGTTCAAGGAAATCCACTTCCTGAAATATAAATGTCCCTAATGTATTCTTCCCCATTCCCTGTCCCAGTTGCATTCCTCTGCATACAATGTCCCCTCTTACAACAGTGCATTTTAAAAAATACCCAATCCTGTGCAATGGCAGGTGAACAGAATTATTTTGCCACACCTTAATATGGGTTAGCTATGCTGAATTTTATTGAAATCAAAATCTGATGTTTGGGAACTGAAATATGTGTCCAACAGAGCTTTTGTATTCATTTAGTGAACCCAATGCTAGGCTGGTGAGATTCAAAATAAAGCTTGCTTGACAAGCTTTGGTGTTTGTTTCTTGCCATATGAAGGAACACTCACTGGGGACGTTTAGGAACAAACAGGATGCTGGAGAAAACTGCATACTGAACATATTCTTAATTTGTGATCTTCACCAAATATTGGGGTTATGCAACCAAGAAAGTTGAGATGGACAGGACAGGTAGCATACAAATGAGTGATGTGAAATTCATGCAGAACTTTAGTTGGGAAGCCTGAAGGGCAAAGGCCATTTGGGGGATTTAGGGGAAGATGGCAAATATAAAAATGGGTTTTGAAAAGAAAATAATGTACAGAGAGCTGCCTGGAATTGCCCATTTTAGGACAGGGTCCCATATCAGAGTCATGAACAAAGTAATGTACTTCCATAGAGGTTTTGTAAAGGTGGAGAATGTTGTAACTAGCTGAGTAACTATTAGCTTCTCAAGAACTCTGCTTCATGCACTTATTTAGTCAACTTTAGTGTAGTCCTTCTGTAGCAAATTTTATCTAAATCAGAGCAAGTTATTTGAGGTAGACAAGCGTATATGCTATAATGAATAGGTCCTGCGTCATGCTGTTTATAACACTGCAGAGCGGTGTGCAATATATGTGTGGTCCAAAAGACAAAAATCAGATCATTATCTGGTCTGCCATGTGTGGCCTACATGCTACACTTACAAACCCCGAAATTGCGATATTATCGAGTCTGTTTTTGTAAAAATTATTGTGCACTGATGTAATATAGTATTCTAGTTTGTTTATTTGTGTGTGTTCTGGATTGTGATGTACTGGAATATTAAGTATATTATTTTTTTCATAGTGAAGTGCATCACAAAGTGATTTTGAGTGAAGTTTTTCACAGTAGTGTTTTTTTTTCAAAATGTAAAATATAATTAATAAAATTATTAATTAAGTAATTTGTTTACTGTCTTTTATTTGGTGAAGTGCATAGGAATTGAGACCAACTTTAACTATTGACAATTGAATCTGTACAGTGAGTGACCCTAAATAATTTATTCTGATTGTGGCTTTGAAGCTGTACGTGTTTATATGAACTTTTTTGATCACAAAGACCTAGGAAATCACCTTCTGCAGTTATGCCCTAAAGTCGTGAAACACACTGTATATATTTTCACCAATAACTTTCATTACAAATAACAAAGGGCATTTTCAGACCAGTTCAGATGTATACAGTGTTAACATAAGACACAAGCACTGTCTCCATAAATCAACTGCTTACCTCTCATGCTTTCAGAAAAGCACGTGCTGGATTCAAAATTTTCAATAATCTGCCGTTTGATCTAAAAAACCTTATGAATGAGAACACGCAATTTAAAATAGCACTAAAACGATACTTAAACACATTTATTCTGCTCTGTTCATGAATACTTATTGTCTAAAAAGTGACTCATCCATTTAAAGGTTGTCTAAATAGCATAAGTGATAGTATTGATGTATATATGTGGATGCGTTTCTTAATAGCCTCATGTGTAACCCACTGTGTTTCCTTGTATGAAAACTTCAGTTGTACTGTATATGTTTTTTTTGTATTTATATGATATATTGCACATCCTAGTCATTTTTACTAACTCTGAATCCAGGGAATGCAGTGTAATGTAACATAGTATAAACATTATTAAAAGAGGAATATACGTAGGGAAGTCAAAAAGTTCCCGGAATTCCCCTGCAGATGGAGAACGAGCGATAAGATAGCGCACACACTGTTGTGGTGGGGAGTGCAACAGGTCTGGACAGGTTTCAGTGTGCAGTGTCATTACTGTTCCGTTTGAATTAGATGTGAGTGTTGGTCATTCGGCACAGTGTCGCAGTTCGAACAGCGTGCGAACATAAAGTTCATGTGCAAATTGGGAAAATCTGCTTCAGAGATGCAATTGGCCCTGCAGCAAGTTTACGGTGATACTGTACTAAAGAAATCCGAAGTTTATGACTGGTTTTCCCAGTTTAAGAATGGGCAGGAGACGTTAGAAGATGACCAGTGCAGGGGGAGACCTTTGACATCCAGAACCGAAGAAATGATTGGAAAAG